CACATTTATGAATCCAGGTTATTCAGAGCAGATTACCCAGAATCCAGCAATTCTAACCAAGTAAAATGAATTCATATCATACCTCTAACTACCTCCATTAGGAAGAGACAGGTACCATTTCTACTTTGCAATTATATTTACAGTTCATTCTTAAATATTCAGATTTTTTATAATTGTCAGCCATCATGATAAATGTAAGAATGTGAAATTATGGAGGATATGATTGGTCTGACATATATAATTACTAACTGCAAAACACTATAGAAATGTAAAGTATCATATTAGGAAAAGGAGCGGGATAAGGAGATTTTAAGATTGTGTGTTTTGAAGTGAGACTGGGTTTGCCATTTACTACCATTCACTTATTGCGCAACCTCGGGCAAATCTCAACCACAGCATCCTTCCATGTAAAGTAAGGGTAATAGCACCTATCTCACAGGGACACTGTGAGAATAAAATGAGACAATGTAAGAAGCATAGGTCAGTGTCTGGCACATGGGATGAGGTTTAAAAAGTAAGTTATTCTTAAAATTAACACCCCATTCTTCATTATTTAGATCCATGTCCCTTTCTCCAAGTATTTTTGAAATTATGGAGTTTGTTTTAATTCCTCACTTACAGAAAAACTAAAAGAATATAATTTTCATTACTCCTAAAGAAATATCTCATGGCTGGGCGCCTGGGTGGCTCAGTTGGTTAAGCGACTGCCTTCGGCTCAGGTCATGATCCTGGAGTCCCGGGATCGAGTCCCGCATCGAGCTTCCTGCTCAGCAGGGAGTCTGCTTCTCCCTCTGACCCTCTTCCCTCTCGTGCTTTCTATCTCTCATTCTCTCTCTCTCTCAAATAAATAAATAAAAAATCTTTTTTTAAAAAAAAGAAATATCTCATGGAAACCAATGAGTTCTAAGGACAAAATGTATTTGTTGACAGTGAGCATTAGATAAGTTGTCCTTTTGATGATACATACATCTGTGTCATACACAAGGGTAGAGACATAGCGCCAAAGATAAAGGAATAGCTTCCGAAGATGGAGGAGATGAATAAAGAAATATTTCAAATATATGGGTTTTATTTAAAAACAGAGATGTAGTTAATATTTTTCTTAAATGGTAAGATGGGGAGAGGACTATAAAAGGTGGTTGAATTCTTTAAGAACATTAAAAAAATTAAAATTAAAATTTTTCTAAAGTTTCTATGATTTATTGTCAGAAGTGATATTGTTAAACTTTGTCATGAAATATAAAAGATTGTTTGCATCTGATTTCTGAAATGACATGAAGTTAATAAAACAAGGCAGAATTCTTTTCATTCAAATGGACCCAATGATCTCAATTCCTATAAAGCATCTGAGTCCAGATCTAAAGCCAACCTGTAGTTTGATTCGATCTAGTCCTTACCTATAAGAGACCACATCCCACTAGCTCAGTTTTCATTCATGTCCCATAATCACTCTTCATAGCCTTCACATTCTCATAAATCCCTGATGCCAGGCTTCACTGCTGTCTGTCAGCTGATTCGGCAGCATTTCAGTTTCCACACTCTCTTATACAGCTCTAAGAAACCTGCTCTCCTGCTTTGAATCTGACGTAATGTTCCCCACACCCACCAGGACTAACGCACTTGATGGCATGGAAAATCCAACTACCTCATCCCCTTCAACTAAATGACTACCCAGAATCTACTTCCTCTATGAAATTATTCTCAGTCCAATCTAGGACTGTCCTGAATCTCTCCTTCTGCTCATTTCATGCAAGTATGAATATATCTGCATAAACCCAGGCATTCCTTTTTCCTCTCAAAAAAGTGAATTCCTTTTGAATGGGATTCCCAAATAAAAATCTTTCATATCTGTGAGAACTCCTATGGGGCTAATGAAGAAACTGTGGTATGCTAGTGAATATTGACTGATTTATTCAATTTTATTTTTTAGTTTAATGTTTTACATTCTATTTTTTAGTAATGATAATAAATAGAAGTAAAGCACATTTTTGGCATTGAGAATTTGACTCTGGAGACAAACTACTTATTTTCTAATGCCAGCTCTATTACTTACACTGTGTTCTCTCTAAACTTCAGCTGTCTCAACTGTTAAATGAGGGTAATAATAGTATCTACTTAATAGGATTATCTTGAGGATTGAATTAGATAATCCATGCACTTTTAAAAAGGGTATACTTCATATAAAGCACTCCATGAATGTTTGTTGTGTTGTTCTTATTACTATTAATTTATCAGGAAAGCATAACCACTCATTTTCTAAGGTTTGAGTGTATGTTTGAATGACTCGTACAATGAGAGTCACTAACTTGCGTAAGTGTCAGTTTGGCTTGAATGCAAGTTTGTGCCTTTCCTTCAGAAGTTCTGAAATTGTATCTGGAGATCAACAGCATAAAAATAAATTCTTGTTTCTCAGCACACAGGACCTGCCATACTCTATTTCTGCCCATGGGACAAGTGTGAAGTCACCCATCACCTCCAAGGGGTTGAATCCAATGGATACTCCAATTCCTGTCCCATTTGACCTCCTTGTGTTAGACACCATCTACCCTCCCTTTCCCTCTTCCTTTGACTTCCAGACCCATGTCCTGCTTATTTTCTTCCTGAATCTTGGGCCCAATACTTCTTAGTCCTTTGTGGTTATCTCTTCCCTTTCTTCAGATCGTGCTGTTGCCCAGGAAAATTCCTTCTCACTCCATACACTTACCTTTGATTACCCCATTATCTCTCAGGATTTCAACATGTTGATGACTCCACATCCATCTTTACTGCCACTTTCTGAGGCCAGGTCCTTATTATTCCAACCTAGCTTATGGAAATTGCCTCTTAAATTGTCCCCTGGCTGCCATCTTTTCCCCACTTTAAAATTTCTCCTTCACACAACCACCAGAATGATCTTCTCGAAGTATAAATCTGACCTTGTCACCATCAGGCTAAAGCTCTTTAATGGTTTCCTTTACTTTACTGGATAAGACTTAAAAATCTTTAAACTACCTATCCCTTCTATACTTTAATGACCCACATTATGAAGGCACCCTACAAGTTTTTGTTGTTCAGATAATGCCAGTTCATACAAAGCACATGGTTCTAAAAGTATTCCCAGGGCTATACTTTTTGTTCAAATCACTTTCCATCAAAAATTATTGATTGCAGCCTTAAAATCAGAAGAGGTTATCAACTCTAGTAAATGAACTTTACCAAATCTCCTGAACTGAATTTTTTTAGAAAAGTCAATTATACACACACACACACTACATTGTTGCTCTTTTTCAAAAATAGATTATAGAATTCTCATGATGGTGAAAGCATATTGTATAACCATATACACTTAAGTATACTTAAAATCAGTTAGACAAAGGAAACAGGGTAATGATGAAAACTATTACATAATTTAACAGCATTGTCCACAAGTTTAGAATTTAGATCCATTTACATTTCAGATCCTCATATTATAGAACTGCTAACCATCAATATTTGCTAGAAACTGATGAACATTGTGGAGAGTCCACACATCTCAGAGCCATCTGTCACTGTGTATGAACGGTGTAGAGGAATGTATAAGAAATTGCTAAAGAAAGAGGGGATGATGGTAAGACCTGCTAAGTCAGGAGTCAAAGTCTGAATTCTGTCCTGACCATGGCCCTACTTTATATATATTTCTTAAGACAACTGATTAGACTTTCAAGATGTTACTTCATCTTCAGAATAAGGTGCTTTAATTACACAAATCTGGAAGGCCCTTGCCAGCTTTGAAATTTGAATATTTAGTTATGGCATACCCACAGAATAGAACAGCTCTCCTCTAAACATGCTTTGAGAAGGATAAAATCCATGTTTGCCTTTTAGTCACAGTTTAAAGACCTCTTAGGTGTCCAGACTTAATAAGACTCCTTAATCTATATCCCTGCAAGCCTCCACCTTCAAGTGCTAAAATCTTTAGCTTCCTCACTGCCCTAACTATGCTGGACATTTTCATATAATGTAGTCTGACTCATTCTAGGCTTGAAGCAATAAAAATTTAACAGAGAATTCGACATAACCCACCCCCCTGCTTTCAGGTCCAAGTAATGATACCTCCTTAGTCTTCCAGTGACACACACTAAATACTTCATAAGGGAAGAGCTGGATAAGTGACTAGCATGTGTTTTTAGCTTCAGTTTCTTACATTAGGGTTATAACAGCTGTATGCAGTAAAATTCAAGGGTAGAGTTGGCAGTATCAGACAATTTAAGACATCCACACCATCATAGTCATAGCAGCTGAACATGTTTTCTGCAGTGGAGATTTAATGTATTGGATAGGATTATGAGTGAATTGGATTGGCTTCACCATTTTATATCATATTTTGCTTTGTGATGAGCTGCAAGCCAGAGTCCATATAGTTAGACTTGGGGGCTTAGCAACATAACCAATAAAATAGAGTGAGAAAAGAACAAAGCTGCATTCTATAGCCTATCAAGAAGAAAAGCTATAGTTTAATGAAACTATAAGCTAGGAAAAGTCATCCTAGCATTAAACAGCTCTGCTGATATTTGGAGATGTCTGTCTCAGACTGTCCTCCTATAAACTTTCCCTAGAGAGCAAACCTTTGACATGTAGCTACTATTGTACTCCTGTCTAATACAGGTAGGGTCCTACAAAAAAAGAGGAGAAAAGAATGTAATGTGTTTACCTGCACTATTCAAGCAAAAAAAAGGGGGGGGGGCGAATGCATTGTGATTCACATAACTCAAGCTAAGTTATCCACATTCCCTAAGTCAGAGGTCCAAAACTCACAGAGAAAATCCAGCAACCTAATTTCAGTTTGCTTTGATTTGAAGGCTTGTGTTTGTCAGAATACATATAAACCTTGGAATTGAGTCAGAAAAAAATGTGTAAAGATGTAATATACAGAAAAAGGTAGACAATTCACCCAGTCAGTGTGAGTCCAGGAAAAGTGAGATTCCTCCCACAGATCACTGGCCCCACAGCCACCTGGAACTTGAGCTCTGAATGTCACTTACCCTATGACGATACAGGAGATGGCAGTTCCCAAGAAGGCATATGTTAAAATAGATCCTAAGTTTTGAAAAAAGTGTCTCTGGGGAGAAAAGAATATTTCATATAGTACATCCATATATTTTGTTACTGTAACAGGAAATAAAAATAAATGTATGCACTTTCACAGTCCCTCTCTTCCCTCACTGTGTAGGCAAATTTTGTTTTTGAGCCTTAGTTCCTGACCTTATTGTACAGATAAGGCTGAACCTATTTATACTGCAAAGGACAGAGGTTTCTCAGAGAAATGGGGGAACAAATACATCAGAAAATGACAGGGTAGAGAGGAGAGAATGACTGCCAAAACCAGATGGACCTGAGAGAGAAAGTAAAGAACTAGGGCAATGTCCTTGCAGGACTCTGGAATGATTAACAGAAGACAAAGCTTTTAAGAAATTTAGTTGTCAATGGAACCCGTTTAGCATTTTAAAAATACTATTCTAAAAGATTTTAGTTGCCTTTTGACTCATTGGCTCTCTGACTTATATTTCTTCTGAGTGTAATGAAACAAAACTTTATCACCTACAACAATTTATTTTGGTGAATCACACAAAACGATGCCTAGTATTAGGGCTAGGGATAAGGAAGGATGAACTGAGGAAATCCAGCCTTCTAAGTCTTCTCAAATGCTGGATTGGGAAAACTCCCTTCCAGTTCTCTAAGTGGGAGCTGAGTAGTTAGAACTGACAGCAAGAGGGAGCCTGGAGTACACAAGAAAATCAGGTCGGTTCTGAACAAGCAGCCTTGACTGCTGGAGCTGACAGGCCAAAGGGATGAGAGCCTCAAGAGTCTCTGGGATGGGGTGTGGGCAGCAGAAAAGCAGCTGTACTACCTCTGCATCTCAAAATTCAGACACACCAGAGCCTCAGTCTGAGGCACAGGAGATGCTAGCACTTAAACTATTAAGGGAATTACTAATCTATGAAAAGTGCACATTCAGACAGTATCTAAATAATGTCAGGCAAGAGCACAGAAGCTACGAAACCGGACTTCCTTTCTATGAACATCAACAGCTGAGTATTAGCAAGGTATCTTGAGTTTTCACCCTGATTGATAAACCCAGTGTCTATCCCAATTAACAGCTAACTCTTTGGTTACAGTTATCTTGAATAAAATTATCCAATAGAAATATAATGTTAGCCACGTATAGCATTTAAGATTTTTCTAGTATCTAATTAAAGTAAGTTTTAAAAAAAAGCAAAATGAATTTTGGTAATATATGTCTTATTTAACCCAATATATCCAAAATATTATCATTTCTACATGAAATCAATATCAAACATAATGGAGATATTTTACATTCTTTTTAAATACTAAGTCTGTGAAATCCAATGCATATTTTACACTTAAAGCATGTTTTCATTCAGACTAGCCACATTTCAAGGGTTTAATGGCTGCATGTGGCTAATGGCCAATGCAGAGCAGAGCAGATTTAGAAGAATTCTAAGTGTGTCAGGTTTGAATATGTATCACTTAATCTAAGATAATGATATCCTTATGAATTAAATAAGCTCATAAAATAATTGTTTTTTCATTAGTGCTGGTACAATTCTCTGCTTAATGGTAAAAGAAGAAAATAATCACTGTGTTATTTACCTTCTTTAGGCTGTATCCTGCGTGAAATATAATTGGTGGCAGTAAAACATTGAAGAAGATTTCTGGATCAAATGTCATCTGCCAGAAAAGATAAAAGTGCAGTTAGGAAGATGCTCCTTTGGGTCGCTAAAAAATGTGCTTTAACAATACAGTTATAGTCACCTTGGCTAAGTTTGTATGAGGCATATTAATATGCTATTAAATTAGCACAGGTGAAAATAAGAAAAAATGCAAACTTAGAAATTCATAAATGAATGTAACCGTGAAATAATATTTTTAATGTAAAGCCTATACCTGATTTTATGGCTAATAACAACAACAATTCAATAAAACCCCTCTGGGCAAAGAAAACTCTTTGCATTTATTTTGGTTAGTTGTCCACTTTTCACATTTTAAATGTTTTCATTCTATTTTATTTTTTTCCGGTCCAAGAAATTTTCTGGCAGTGCTCAAACATTTTAGCTTCTGACAAGAGTTTATTTAAACTTTTCCCAAATAAAACATTTTTAAAAATTTGGTCTTAGTTTTCCCTACTTTATCCCATTCCAGAGTTTAAAATATTTTCCAGACTCTGTGGAAAAATATATTGGAAAGCACAAATGGATTTTTCTAGTATTTGTTTATTGGCTTTTACTTAAATGTTAAAACTGGCCAAAAAAAATTACTTGGTGTGAAACACAATGAAATGAAATATGTAATCAAATATCCACTGTTTGCTGGGAAGTCTGAAAATGAAACTCTTTTAATCTTTAAAATCTCACTTAGACTCATCGTCTTTTCTCTACCCCACTCCCCAAACACACACAAAGTCATTCATTATTCACCACTAGGGCTTATTAACCATTACAGTACTCATCAAAATCTTTCAGATACATGGTTTCACAACTATAGTATTTAATTTTCCCTCCCTTTTTCGCCTTAATTCTAACTCATCTCTGATGTTGGATCTCAGACGCTGCTCTTCTCTGAAATCCACTTTGATTTCCCCAGTTACTTCTGTGTTCTTTTAGCACTTTGGAGCCTCCTTCTCCTTTTCTGTAACAGTCTCTCAACATTACTCATGTAATATTTGGGAAGGGGTGGGTGCGGGAAGTAGGAGTCACTTAACTCAGCCAGGTCCCTTCTCATAAACTTAGTCATCCATTGATGCTACAACCGCTTGTATCCATGAGCATTCAGGTAGATCAACTATGGCCCATCCATAGCTCTCTGTGCCTGAGTTTCTTCATCTTTAGAATGAAGATAATAATGTGATACCTAATTTTAAGGTGGTTGTAAAAATTAAATCAATTAATATTCGTAAAGCCCTTGTAGCACTGCCTAACATCTAGTAAGCATTTTAAGTATTTAGTACTAAAGAAAATAAAATATTTTTCAAGTTGTTAGGAACTCTTGAAGGTTATGGCTGTGTAAAATTTGGGCAAAGATACTACGTTTCCTTCTAAGTTTGTTCTTTCTTCTAAGATTATCTGTATACCATTACTAATCTATTTTTATGAGGTCTCTTTGAAAGTATATCAATTGCATATTTGAAAGTTTTTAGCAAAGAGATATATTTCTGAGTGTTGCAGGAATGAAGCAATGCAGCTGTGATCATGTGGAAGAAAAAAGTACAGTGGCACAAACATTTTGGACAGAAAATCCCTTGCCTCAGCAGTTTTTCTGCAAAAATCAGGTTAATCACTCAACCAGAACATTTCAATAATCAGAATGCCCCATTCCCTGCATTCAGGTTAACTAATGTGCTATTGAATTATATTTTCTGGGGCAGCCAGATGAAACTGGCAGGCTGAGAATGGCATGTAGCATACGAGGATTTATTTGTATATACAAAACAGATTTGTGTTCCTTTCAGACTTGCTATAAGCTTAGGAACTGCTAAATCAGAGTTCTGGGAGTAACTCCAAACCCAGACAATTTCTCAGAAATGGCAGGATCTGCTTCTATACCAATCTCCAGATGGCGATTCCACATGGCATTTTCCTCAAATTTTGTGTTCAAATCATGGCCTTGGAGGTGAGACTGTTTTTAAGGCCCAAACAATTAAAATTTTTCAATATAGTTTGAGGGGGAAAATCTAAGACAAGTGAAAACAGAAAGCTAGAAATATTTCAGCTAAAGACCTTAGTCCTCTAAGATAGAGAACTTAAAGACCAGCCCTGTCCAGTAGAACTTCCTGTGATGATGGAAATACACTATAATTGTACTATCCAATATGGTAGCCACTAGCCACATAAGCTAGTAAAGCAACTGAATTGCAGCCTAGTACAACTGAGGGACTGAATTTTTTATTTTCGCATCTCCTGAGTGGTAGCTGGCAAATGCAATTATCCCCATTTTTCAGAGACAGGAGAAGAAATGAATGGCATGCTCAGTGTTAATGTGACAGGCATATCACTGAGAACTGAGTGTGTATTCATAGGCAGACTAAATGTGTAGTTTCTGAGGAAACAGCTGGCTAACATAACTACTTAGAACAAGATGTAGGAGTGTTTAAGAGGAGTTGGGACTCAGAAGTAGATTTTATTATTTTGGTAATTCCTGATTCCTTTGGAAAAGCAGAAGTGGTTAACACAATAATGTGTTCAATAATTTTCAATGCTTTTTTCATTAAAAATTTAATAAGTTTCTTCTTTGCTACAAAGTACTTAAAGATATATGATAGATACAGTGAATTCATGGAGGCTATAGCTAAGAAAGGAATGATGTGCAAGCACAGTAAAAGGCATGGGGCTAGGCTGTAATTTAGAGTTCTGTAGGACAGAAACATCATTCTGGGCTTGCTAACCCTGCAGGCAGGCTTGATGTCCAGGCAGCATCTGAACTGGGTTTTGAAGGATGGATAGGGAGCTTATCCATGGGGCACCACCATACAGAACATAACCCTTTGTCTGCCCTGGGGGCAGTGGGCCAATTCACCAAGCCGCAGAGGAAACTGGTAGCTTCCTGGAGTTTCGATTATACTCAATAACAGATGATTTGAAACATTTTAAATATTAAAATAAATGCAGACATAGTAAAAAAAATCTCAAAAAGTCCGTATGTGCTCTTACTATAAATAGGAGACTTCAAAGAAAACTTGGCTGGCTCAGGGTAGGCAGCTTTGGGACATACCTAGAGATAGCTCAAGAGTGTGCACTTGTTTTCCTTTGCCCTAAGTTATGCTTTTGATAGGAGGTACCAGACACACTTGGGAAATAGAAATAGACAATGTAGAACTCCTGAGGGATAGAGGAGGAATTTAATGCAGATGGATATTACCTAGACGATGAGCTCTCTCTGACCCTGTGGAGATGGATTTAAACTACACTCATTCAAACATGGAGAAAGTAGAAATGGTTTATACAAGTAGGATTAAACAATAAAGTGGCTAGTAGGAATAGAAATTTGAATAACCTCTTAATAGGGTAATTTGGCAATAGGTATCCAAATGTTAAATGTCCTTACCATTTGATTCAGCGATATCTCATCTGAGAATTTATCCTACAGATATGCTTGGACATGTATGGAATGACATAAGGATAAGAGCATTCATTGCAGATGAAAGAATGAAAAAAAATGTTGGGGATAATTAAATCATGAATTGGTTAAATAAATTATGGTGTAATTCATACAATTGAATACTATACAACTTTTAGAAAGTCCAGAGAAACTGTCTATGCATTGAAATGCTTGCTGTCTATAATTTGTTGTCAAGTCAAAAGAGTAAAGTATAAGATCAGCATGTCTGGTGCATATAACAAAGATTGCTATGGGCTCACCATATCCCATTTCATTTTTGTCCTTGTCAGACACCTAGACTTCATTTCTTGTAGTCATATGACAGAGATCTAGCCAATTAAATATGGACAAAAGGAATATAAATTATTTCCAAGCCTAGTCCCTGAAAACCCCCTAAATCTTTCATGCTCTATTCCTTTCTTTGTTAGCTCATATAGAACATCTGGCAGAGGTCTCAAATCCCTAGGGACTGGCAGAGCCAGTAGGTTAAAAGAAGTTGGGGTGATTAATGGCTACTGGAGAAGACTATAGTTCTCCCCTCACTGGCCCAAAGGCCATACTGCATTGGAACATGAGCAAGAAATAAACCATTATCATGTTAAATCATTGAGATTTGGGGATAGTTTGTTTGTTAAGGCATTTTGCCTATTCCAAGATTTGTGTAAAAAAGGGGGATGCAGACTATTTACATATATATGTAAATATATACATATTTATACACACACACACACACACACACACACACTATTGGTTGCCTCCTGTGAGGCTAGGAAAGAGAAACTGGTAGCAGAAAAGAAAGGTAGAAGTTGGAAGAAGGATTTTCTGTATATTTAGTGAGCAGGTGATTATCTTTGTCCAGGCTTCATATCTATAAATATAGAGATGACCACAGCTTAGAACAGTACAGCCCAGCATTTTCCCCATCATGACACAGAAAATGATTATATTGGGTCAATGGGGGTAAACTGTGGAAAAATTAGGGTCCTGGTAAGACTACGCAGGACTGAAAGGATTAGACTTGGGCCTCTGACCATCCTTAGCCCAAGGATGAGGGCATTGAAATGTCATGGCACACCTGTAACCCATCAGCACACCAGCTGAGGAGTGCTGTGCAGGATTTAACACTCCTGGCCCCGGTCCCACCTTCCACTCACTCATCCCCAGGAAACAGAGAGTGACTACTCTGATTACTGAGTTGGAAAAAAGGAATTGAGTGCATGCAGCTCAGTGCTGTCCTCTCTCCATGTTGGAATCAGCCTGCTTGCTGAGAGTAGATGTCCCTGGCTCCACCCAGCCCTAAGCTTTATAAGAGCAAAGCCCAGCAGGAAGACCCATACACTCCAGCTGAGTCTGTAGCTAGGTATGTAAATCTTTCTAGTTCTAAAGAAAGATGAGCAAGCCAGCTCAAAAACCAATCCTCACTATTTCAACTAGTTTTTGATCTCCATCTTTCTCACTTTTGTACCTATGTCTCAATTAGTTATAAAATAAATGTAATTAATAGGGAAAAGAGATGATATTGAATCACCTCTTCAAGATTCTAACTTACTATTTTGTATCTTTTGAATACTGAGCTA